GAAGGGGAGGGGGGGAGGGGAGGGGAGGGGAAGGAGGAGGGGCAGAGAGGAGCAGCGCACCACTCGACTATCGTAGAAAACTCAACAAAACAAGCGAGGCAGGTATGGTTGAGGATTACGAAGGTGGTTACCCCCTCTTCAAGGCTAGAGTATCCTGGCACGACATAAACCATGGACCGCCTCGGCGACGGGGGGGGGGGCGAGCACCGCACGAGGTGCGTGTACTCACACCGGGGGCACACACCCCTCCCCTGTGTGTCGGCGGTCCCGGCAGCGGCCGGCCCCCTCCCCCCGGCCGAGCACGCCCCACTCCTACCCCGGCTCGCCAAGGTCCCGCCGCGCGAGAGGCCCCCCCCCCCCCGGGCGGGAGCGTCGGGCGCATCCCGGCTCGCGCATTCGCGCGCGCACACGCCCCCCTTCGTCGGGCCCAGCTGCCCCTGCTTCCCGAGCGTCCCTACCCCCCCCCCCCCCTGGTCTTCCGGTTCGTCAGAGGGCGTCGCTTTGGCCCGGCTAGCGGCGCACCGACCCTCCTCACCCCCTCGCCCCTCGCCCTGGCGTCCCGGTCCCCCGGCTGTCCCCCTCCCCGGGCGGTGGTGGCGTTTTAGGAAGTATGTCAAGGGCTAGCCCAGGAGCTTGTCCAGCGGGCGTTCCGGTGTGCGAGAGAGTCGGGCGCACACCCGGCCGCAAGGGGGCAGTGCCTGGCAAGGGGTGCCCTGGTCAGCATATGACCTGCCAGCCGCATCGGACCAGGCCAGGCAACGCCCGCGGCACGGGCAGCGCCGGGAACCCAGCAAGAGGAGGGACCAGGGGAGAGAAGGCCATTTTGCCAGCGAAGGAGGGGGGAATCATCTGGCCCGGCCAGCAAGAGCCCAGCCGTGTCGGGCGGCGGCTCCATGCGCCTGGCCCCAGGCACGGCTCTCTTGCTCCAGAGAGCCACCGGCGCGGGACGCGACACACACACACGGGTCCCGCGCCTCGGAGCAGGGTGCCCCTCCACCGGTGAGGACACGCTCGCCCCCCGCCCCAAGCATGGCCATCTCCGATGGGGCACTCTCGCGTGCAAGTGTGCCTGCTTGCGCGCGAGCGCACCAGCGAAGGGTACCTACAGCTTCTTCCCTCCAGCCAACGAGAGGCACCCACGCACCTGCGCCTCCACTCACCCCACACACGCCCAGGCGCGCACAGACGCACACGAGAGGCTCGGGCGAGCCTTTGTCCAGCAGCCGGTCGCGTCGCTGCTAGGCCTCAGGAGAGGGACAAACCAGGAGGTCGGCTTCCGGGGGGCATCTGGCGACAGGCAGCCGCCGCTGGAAAAGGCACCCGGAGGGCGTCACAGCCCGGCATGTGCGGCTCTCCGACCAGCATGCGTGCTTTCGTCGGGAAGAGCAGGGGCGCGCGTGAACGTGCCCACGACGAGCGCGCGAGACGCCGCCGCATTCCCCCCCCCCCCCCCCCGCCTGAACGAGGTAAACCCCCTTCTGCCCTCGAATTCAAATCGATCTTAGGGTGGCGTAATTCCACTCCGAGGTTCGGGGTTGTCTTGGATTTAGTATCCGACCCTCCGGACGACCCCCCACCTAAAGGGCCATCAGTTGGAAGTGCGCAATAGGGAGAGCCCCCCTCCCCCCGTATGCACGCACAGGCGCCAGCGGCGAGGAGGGGGCAGGCGGAAAAAGTCTCCACCCTGGGCCGGCGCCCCCGCCCAATTGTGCCAACCAAGGCACTTGGCAGGGCCAAAGGACCCGCGCGCGCGCGCGCGCCGGGCGGGGGGGGGGGGGGGGGGGGGGCCATCCTGGCACCCTCCCGGGCAGGGCCCGAGCACACAGTCCAACCCACCCAGCGACTGAACCATCTCGAAGAACCGGCCAGCTCGCAACCCTGATGGAAAATAAACGTGTGCCTGGGGCAAAGAGCCCCCTGCCCCCGCGGCTATTCGTTGTCCAGTTCATTTCGCCGATAGACCCACATTAATGTGCAAAAGAAAAGACTAGTAACATATGTCGTCTTTGTCTTCTCTGTCCGGCCCTTTTACCCCCCCCCCCCCCCCCGGCCTCTCCGGGTCCCAGATATCAGCCCGTTTTGGGGCTGGAGCGAAAAAAAAAGGAACAGGAGGGCAAGCGTGCCTCCCCCTCCCCCCCCCCCCCCGCGCGTACGCCCTCCCTCTCCCAGTCCGTGGCCCGCGCCCTGAAGCAGCGTCAAGCTGGGTGACCCCTTGGCTGGGGTCACACCACTCAAATACTGTTTCCCCAACACCAACGCATGACCTCATGTCAAAATCACATGCACACGATGCCCGGGCGCCGCCCTGTCCCTGCCCGGCATTGTTGTCGTTTGCCTCTCCTCCAACCCCCCCCCCCCTGCGCACACGCGCCAGCCAGTCGTCTACACCGAGCCTGGCCAGATGGGAAATCAAGGAACACCACACGAACAAGAGGAAATGCACGGAGGACCGGTTTTAATTTTGTATGCTCCCACGCCCGATCGGCAGACAGGAGCGGACACAAGGAGGCGGGGGGGGTTCGGGGGGGGGGGGGGGGGGGGGGTTCCCATGTGCGTTCGTGTGTGCGGGCGTGCCCGCAGCAGGCATGCCGCACAGCCGGGACTCTCCGTCCCGCCCCCCTGGCACCTCGTTCACTGTGCGGCGCCTGAGGAGAAGGCCGACAGCTGTTCCCGCAGGCGGCCAAAGCCATCCAGTAGCGACCCGAGCGTGTCCTTGTCCATCTCAAAGACAACCTTGCGCACGGGCACATCCAGGGCCAGATCCGACTCCGGGGTCGGCTGGATATCCAGCTGGGCGATGACCACCGGCTCCGAGAGGGACGCCGCCACGCTGGAGGCCGTCTTCACATGGACCTTCATGGAGCTGGCCACCAGCCGGGGGTGGGTGATCTCCTGGCCGGCCAGGATGTCCTTCCACTCGGGGATGCTGTGGCTGATGGCGGCCGCGACAAACTGGCGCAGTTCCACCGGCAGCGACCCAGGCAACATAGCGACGATCTCGGCCGGGCCGCACTGGACAAAGAGGACGTCATCGATCAAGTCGGCGATGGTGTCGAGGAGCTACATGGAGACAGGTGCGTGCGTGTGCGTGCGTGCGTGTGCGTGCGTGCGTGTGCGTGCGTGCGTGTATGATTGTGGGGATGTATGCAGATGTATCCGAGTCAGTCAGCGCGCCACGGGGACCAGGGACGTGGACGTGACAAGGTCAGGCCGGCGGTGGTGGCTGGGACGCACGTTGGATGCATCCTGAGGGGAAATTTGGAACTGCTCGGCAACACGCTTAAGGAAACCGCTGGGAAAGACCGTCGAGCTGTGTGCGGGGGCGAGGGAGAAAGGGCCACAGGAAAGGGCCGTGAGCGTGAGCATGGAGGTGAGTCGAGGTGGTGGACCCGTGGACAGGGGGCAAAGACAGGGCATTCGGCCAGGCGCATTTGGCTGACACGCACATGTCGGTCGACTCGCGCGAGTGGATGAACACCTGCTTGAACATCTGGGCCAGGATGTCCTCATAGGGCCCGCCCAGGAGCAATTTGAGGTCCGAATACCGGGCCATGGCTGGAGAGGGCGAAAGGTGCGGCGGCGTGGGGGAGGAGAGGAAAAAGAGCCGGAGGAGGGCAGAAAGGCCAGGAGGTCGGGGAGAGGGTGCGCCGGCGGAGGATGGGAGGAGTGGACATGGCATTCAATGTCGACAGAGCCACGGCCCTGGTGAGGGGGCGCAAATAGCCCGGCCAGTAGCGTGGCCGATGCCCACTCGCGAGATCGGCAGCGAGGGCCAGGAGATGGGCTGATTGATCGGCCAGCCGAGGCGCCGCAGGCCGGACAGGGAAGGGGCCGCCCCCCCTCTCTCTCTCTCTCTCTTCCTGCCCCCGTTCCTGAGAGCAGCCGCCCCGCCGTCCTGAGCACACGTAGGGGTGCCGAAAGAAAACAAACAACCCCGCACAGGAGCATGCACCCCCCACCAAAGCATACCGCGTGATATGGCAGTCACACGAAACAGCACCCATATACTACACAATATGGACATTTGCCCGACCCTCTTCCACGGGGTTGTATTTTTGCCCACCACCGGACATACACATACACATCAATGTCTGCCTCTTGTGTGTGTACGCCGCCGGTGGGTGTTGCGCACACGCGTGCGCGAAGGGGGGAGAGGGGAGGACAAAGAAAAAAAAAAAAAAAAAAAGAAAAAGGGGCCGGTTCGCGTCCCAAGTGAGATGTCCCCCCTCTCACGGCCATGGTGGTTCCCCCCGTCCTCCCGTCTGCCCCTTCCCCTTCCTCCTGGCGAGGAGAGAAGGTCAAAGGCGGGCCGGGAGAGGACGGAGAGCAGGCAGGGGAGGGGCCCCGTCAGGTGACGCCTATCCCCTTTGTTGACCACCTTACGCTTGGGGAAGGTCGTCGGGGTTGATCTTGATGCGGTTTTGCGGGAGCTTGGCCACCAGTTCCTGGCGATGCTTCCGGAGGATTTTGTAAATGTCCAAGAAGGTTTTCTCACCGACACCAGTGACCTCGGACACCTCTGTAAGTGGTTTTCCCGCCCGGGCCCCGCCCACAGAGGCAGGAGAAAAGAGATAGGAGGGAAATGGTCAGAGGCTGGAGTGTGAAGATGGCACACAACGGCCAGACACGGGGGGATAGGTGGTCGGCGTGGGGAAAGGGCGCGTGGCAGGGGCAATCAGGACGGATAACACAGGATGCACGGAAAACCGGACGCACGACTGCTGGTGGTGGGCTCGCCCGTCAGGTTGGTCACCATGAAGATGATGGCAGCCGTGATGGTGGTCGGCTTCTTGCCCGAGAGGAGATAGTTCTCGCGAACTTGCGAGGCAATGATCGAGGCGTTCTGAACAATGTGCGGATTGAAGCCCCACTTGTGGCAGTAGTACTCGACCGGCCGCTCGAGGTGCATCATCGGCACGCTGCATCCATCCTCCTCCAGGAGGGTGCGCAGGCCCTTGACCGTGTTCTTGAACTGCTTCTCCTCAATGCTCGCGGCATCCGCGATGGCCTTCTCCTCGATGAACTGCTTCTTAAACCGGGTGGCAAAGTAGATACAGGCGCCTACCAGGGAGTCGGTGGACCGCCCGCTCATCTTTGACTCGTACTGCACGAAGAGGTTGACCGCCTCCCGCTGTGTGCACGTACGTGGGCGTGTGTGCATGGGGGAAGAGGAAGAGGAAAAAAAAGAAAAAGAAGAAGGGGATGGGGGTCACCATGCAAGCAGACACCGAACCGCGAAAGGTCAATCAGCTGCTTGCCAAAGAAGACCCTTCTCCCGTGGAGAGAACAAGAAGCACGACACCGCCCTAGCCGCTGCCCTGATATATCCCCCACCCATTGATCCAGGCAGGCACGGGGCGTGAAGGTGACACTGCCCCGCCCCTCCCTCCCCCCTTCACAGGCAGATGCATGTATAGATGTGCGTGCGTGCGTGCGTGTGTGTGTGTGTGTGTGTGGGTCACCGGTGCTCCGAACCTCAATCTTGGTCAAGAGGTTCAGGTCGCGGCAGATGTTGGCAATCTTCCGCTGGGTACTGTCAATGGTCTTCTGGTTCATCGAGCTCTACGTGCGCGCGCGCGCGCGCGACAAGTGGGCAATCGAGATACGCGTGTGCGCGTGAACGGAATAAAGCCAAATAGGAAGGGGGAGGGGGGGGGGGAAGCACAGGGACAAGGGGGAGGGAAAGAGTGAGTCTCATCGGCGGCCCGGGGTCAAGAGGGTGGCTCTTTCGCATGCGGACGGGTGTGTCTGGCTGCTGAGCACGATGGGGTGTGTGTCCTGTATGGTGGTTGGCGGGGGATGGCAGGAGGTGTCTCCATGGCAGGCAGTGTATTTCTCGAGAGGGGGGAAGGGGAAACGGGGGAGGGGGAATGGAGGCGGGCACTGGCCGCAGGATGCTCCCAGTACGCGCGAGAAGAAGAAAGTGGGGATGTGGAGAGGCGCGCGGAGGTCGCAAAGAAGAGGAGGAGGAGGAGGGAGGAGGGAGGGAGACGACAGCAGGGGTAGCAGCAGCGTACGTTGTCACGGTTGTGAGTGCGCATCAGGGTGCGCGCCACGCCGCTACCACCATCACGGAAGCCGATGGTCAGGGCGTTGCCATCAATACCATCGCGGGATGGATCGATGACACCTCCAAGACGGTTGGGGTCCGAGGTGTTGATCTTATCGGAGTTGCTGTATGGGCACGAAATGTAAGCACAGAGTGGTGCGCGCATGCACATGCGAGGGGGGGGGTATGGACAGCAGCAACAACATAAGAGAGGGGAGGCGTGCTCAGGTGTGCACGCGCACATGCACGCATGCGTGGACAAGTCGGCCACCCCAGCTTCTGCTTAGCCCACACAGACGCGCGCATGCACACCGCACTTGGTGGCCACACTGTGTGGCCACGCACAAGGGGATGCGAGGGCGCATGCGGGGATGTCGGTGGGAAAGGAGCAGCATGGGGCAGCCGGCACATGGGCATGTGCGCGCGACACTATCTCAGCACAGGAGGCGAAGAGCCACATGAGAGAGCAAGCCGGGGTCGCATCATGAGGTCTCGCCAGAGTATGTGAAGATATGGGGAGAGGGGGAGGGAGGGAGGGAGGGGGGGGGGGGGGGAGAGCCCCACTCCGGGGAGGGCGTTGCAAGCAAAAGAGCTTATACGGGCCAGCCCGCCAACACCTTCTCGCTGGGTGGAGAGCCCCCCCGCCCCCTTAAAGAAGGGGATACACCTTCTCTCCTGGTGGAGAGAGTGCAGTCATCCTTCTGAGATTATCACTCTCACTCTCACTCTCTCTCTCTCTCTCTCTCGCTCTCGCTCTCGCTCTTGCAATGACTCAGGGGACACACCTGAAGGTTCGGTACTCGGTCCGCTCATCAAGCATCAGCTCGACGATGGAACCGCAGCTAGAGCAGGCCACCTCACCGGTGACATCGTCCTCGACCAGGGTCCGCGGGGCCGGCTGCCCGGGGGCGGAGGCCTGGTTGCGCAGGACGACTCCAGGCCGAGCATCCTCGTCAAAGTCGCCACAAGTCGGGCAGACGCGACGACGCTTAGACCGGCGCTGCAGGGCCGACTGAGCGCTGGACTCGGCAATCGCCTGGCTCGGACGCTTTGGCCGCCCGAAGGCAGCCGAAACCGGAGCCGCGGGGACCACAGGGGCCGGCTGGGGCGAGGAGCTCATAGCGGCGGTGCAGGAGGGAGGAGCCGATGCCCGGGCTAGCGGGGCAGAGATGCGCGATTTCCGCCGAAGCCAGGTGGGCGAAGGGGAGGCGGTCGGGCGAGAGTCAGTGTCACTGGACGGGGGAGAGGGAGGACAGCCGGACAGGGAGGAGCCTGGCGGTGTGTGGCCCGCCAGTGGAGGGGAGGATAGCTGCAGGAGCGACATCATTACAAGGGGATGATCGGGGAAGTAGGGGGGGGGGGGGAAGGTCGGAGGATACACAGGGGAACGGGAGGCCAGGAAGTGTGCAAGGCACGGTACCTAAGCCAGATGGGAAAGAAAAAAAGGGGAGAGCGGTGCGAAGAGCGCCGGGAACTCGAGTATGTGTTTGTGCGTGCGTGCGTGTGTGCGTGCAAGGGTGGGGGAGGGTAGTTTGCGAGAAGCAAAGAGGGGAGGGGGGAGGCAAGGAGGTAGGCAAGTGGGAGCTTGTGTTGGAGGCAGTGTCTGGGACCGGACCCGGAGGCGGGATGTGCCAGCCGCCGAAGAATGTTCTCCCGCCTCCACACGCCCACACGGCCCGACGGGCCTCTTTCGGCGCGTCCCCCCC